TCCCTTCCAACACACGAACGCAAATGTCCTGTGTGGTTACAGCACCTTCCTTTTCTTTACAGTTGGCTGTCTGCTCGGTTAGAGACAATCCAGCTCCCTCAACATCTCTCATCCAACACAGAGCTCTCCCAAGAAGGCGTTTGGAGACTTTGCCAGGATGCTGTCTCTGGAAAGCAGTGGGGTGACGCTAACTGATGTGACCCCACCGCATTCGTTTAACAGAGGTGTGACAGTCAAGCAGCTTGTCTGTTACTAATCAACTCAGCCACAGCTTTCAGCAGCCAAGAGGAAAGATTAATATTGTGCTGAGGGCTACAGTCAGGCTCTCTCCACCAGGTTTATTTAGGTGAAGGGCTGTGATGCTATTGACACTCCCAACACTGCTCCTGGGGCAGGAAGGACATGGGGCTACAGCCCTCCCACCCCCTCAGTACACCCCATCCAGGCTGGCCTCGCTGGCATCTCCATCCCCAGGAGCTGGGGTGCAGAACTGGCCCAACACAATGCTCAGGATCTTTTTCCTCAGCACCCCTGGGTAACCTCTGTCCTGCCTCCAGCCATGGAAAAATGCATGGACATATCCCAGCCAAGTCCTTCCACCTGCAGCCTGAAGCTGACTGCTCAGCCATGTGATATTCATCTGTTACTGCCATTTATTTAGCAATATGATACCACAGTCACCTGAAATGCCGTAGGGTGGAACTGCCTAGAGAAATCTTGTCACTAATATTATTTGGGGCATTAGATCATATGTTCACGCACAAGCTGCTGAGTTTGTGGCAGCAGGAGCACCAGATTTTTTAGGCAAGGAAACAAAGTTGACCGTGTTTCATTACTTAGAGTTAGCACAGCAAATTCCATGAGACATCCCTGCCCGCCTCCACTGCGTGCGACCTGCAGCCAAACCAGGCAGCACTTCAGCATCTGACAGCTAAGCAGCATCAAAGCCTTCAGAGGCAAAACACACCGCGTTAAAAGCAGGGAGCTAAGTCATAGGCAGCGAGTGGATTCTTCTCATAAAGCAACTTTTAGCAATTATCCGTCTGTTTTTGCAGCACTCCCAAGGGTGGCAATGCTTAAGATCCATCCTGTGCTGCTCAGCACTGAGCACGCAGATTTCAGAAGAGAGAAGGGAGAGACAGATAAGGGAGACGCACCGCTACTGTCTCTGAATTGCTGCTGGCAAAGAAAGGAATTTGTGGTTAGTATGAAAAGCAAAAAGAATTGCTGCCAGAAGGGGCCGGATGTGCAGGCAAGGCGCAGTTTCAACCTGAGCCTGACATGGCCTTTTTTGCACATGTTCAGGAAGGGGGTTTCACGTCCGTATGCCTCAGCTCCTTGCTGTCAGAAAGCATCAGTCCTTCCAGCACACCAGAAATCATCTGACAAAATCTCTTCTTGATGGAAAGCAGCGACTTGTCAAAATGGAGGCTCCTTTATACCACTTCTGACAGCACATTCCTCAGCGATAGCTAGTCTTCTTGGTCAGAGCAACCTTAAGGAGTCAAGTAGCCTATGTTTAAGGCACAAAGCTAAGGTGTCGCATCCAGATACGCTTGATTCAGAGCAAGCATTTGAATTTGTTTCTTGCCTGTCGTGGGAAAGGGCCCATACCACCAGGCTAATATCACCTCTTCCTAGATCAGCTTCTCCTGACCTTCAAGTAAAGTCTCCATCTCTGCAGACTTTCAAAATCCACCTGGAGACGCGTTCCTGTGTGACCTACTCTAGGTGATCCTGCTCTGGAGTTGGACTAGGTGGTCTCTTGAGGTCCCTTCCAATCCTTACGATTCTATGATTCTGGGAAACATGGTCTAGTAGGGGATGTCCCTGCCCATGGCAGGGGAGTTGGAACTAGATGATCTTTAAGGTCCCTTCTAACCCTGAAAATTCTATGATTCTATGATTCTGCAGCACCTTACTGCCTTTTCATACGTAGCACCATCTATGGAGCCTCTGCAAACACTGCAGAGAAGAAAACTCACCCAGCCTTAACTATGACACCTCTCTCTCCTGGTGTAGCAGGGACTCTAGACAGAGCTACGCAGAGCAAAACAACGTGACAATCTAAAGCAAGCCCCGTGGAAGCAAAGAAGCCCTGTTGAATTGACCAGGAGCTAGCTCTGTCTCAAAAGCATGCCTGCTCTTGCACAAAGGAACCTCACACAGTTAAGAATTC